AAACGAAGGCATGGGTCTCCACAGTCTGAGAAAATAAATAATATTTTGTTGAATAAATTGGAAGGAAGATTGAAAGCTTGGAAAATCTTTGTATTTCGAATCCAGGGAACTGTTCAGCCCAATCAGAACTGGTGTCAATAAAGGCAAGGCTATGGGCAGAATTGAGAAAGCAAGAATGAGAGTGGCTCCAAAAATCCAGATTGAAGTGGTTCAAAGAAGGTGATAGAAACACACGATTTTTTCTTCTTATAGCTGCAGCTAGAGACAGAAAAAATCAGATTGTGAAATTAAGGGTACATGATTCGGTTATTAAGCATCAGAAAGGTATTCAACAGGCATTTGTTAATTACTTTCGTTCGGGGTTCAATGATGTAAAGACTTTGCTATTGAAGAGATTTAACATACCTTTAAAGAGGTTAAACGTTGTGACTAGAATGAGCATTGAAAATCCTTTTTCGGAAGAGGAGGTGTGGCTTGTAATAAAATCGTCAGATGGTTCAAGAGCACAGGACCATATGGATTCAGCTTGGATTTTTTTTAAGAAGTTCTAGAGCGTAATTAAAGGCGATGTTATGAAATTCATGGCTGATTTTTATTGGGACAGAATAGAAGATTTTTCATTCAACAAATCATTCATTGCCCTTATTCCAAAGAAATCCAAGGCTACTAATCTTGAGGACTTTCGTCCTATTTCTTTGGTGGGGTGTATGTACAAGATAGTGGCTCGTGTTTTAGCAAAGAGGATGGCGACTTGCATTAACGAAGTGATTGGTGAAAATCAGTTTGCATTTATTGCGGGTAAGCAGATTTCTGACTGTGCTCTGATTGCGAATGAAGTTATTGATGATTTGTTCAAAAATAAGAAAGAAGCAGTGTTATTCAAGGCTTCTTTTAGTAAAGCATATGATACTGTTGACTGGAAGTTTTTAAATGTTATCCTTAAGAAAATGGGCTTTGGAAGGAGATGGAGGAAATTGATATATTTGTACATATTGACCCCCTTGATTGTTGTGTTAGTTAATGGTTGTCCTTCTCCTTATTTTTCCATTAAGAGGGGATTAAGATAACACTGTCCATTGTCGTCTTTTCTATTTAATGTTGTGGGAGAAGCTCTCGGTGGGTTGTTTAAGAAAGCGATTGAAATTGGGATATGTGGTGGAATCAAAATAGGGGATGGAAGTGTTGTAGTGTCTCATATTTAATTTGCAGACGACCTCCTAATATTTTCGCAACCTAAGGGCAAGATGATTAAGAATATCAAGCGGGTTTTAAATGACTTTGAAGTGGCTGCTAGTCTGAAATTAAACATGAAAAAAAATATTTGGTATTAATGTGGACGAATTCAGAGTGCAGAGATGGGCAGATTTGATATTATGCGATTTGGCAGTCCTCCCTACAACTTATTTAGGTCTTCCTCTTAGGCATAAAAAGAACTCTAAGTCTTTGTGGCAACCCATTCTAGACAAAGTCAGAGATCGTTTGGACAGCTGGAAAGGTAAACTTCTTTCTTTTGAGGGTAGGCTCACATTGATTAGATCAGTTCTCACCAATCTGCTTGTTTAAGACATGTCTTTATTCCCAATACCTAAGCTTATAGCTGCTAGGATTAATAAGTGTATTGCTAATTTTGTTTGGAATGGTAATAATGACAGAGGAATACACTGGATTAAGTGGGATATATTTGTGGGCCTAAATCACATGGGGGTTTGGGGATTTTTTATGTTAGTTTGAGGAATCGCGCATTGCTAAATAAATGGATTTGACAATTTAGTGAGGAAGATGATAGTTTATGGAGAAAGATAGTCATAGCGAAGTACAATTATGATCAGAATTCTATTATGCCTAAAGATGTTAATGTAAGGAAAACTTCATGGATTTGGCATAGTATCATTCATCCGATACAATTTTGTGGTGGAGCCGATTTTATGTCTGAAGTTAGATGTGTGATGGGAAATGGTTCTAAAATTAAATTCTGGTCTGATCATTGGACGGAATTGGTTTCTTTAAAAGATTCTTTTCCCAGACTTTTTAGGATAGCTAGTAAGAAAATTGGAAAGATTTGTGAGTTTGGTCATTGGATTAATGGAGCTTGGGAATAGGAAATTGAATTAAGAAGACAACTCTTTGAGTGGGAAAGGGTGTTGTGGAGTGATTTTATGCAAGTCTTGTTCAGAGCAGTTAGTTTTGCTTCTGGGGTTGATAAATTAAAATGGTTAGGCTCTTTAGATGGTTCTTACAATGCCAAATCCTTCTACAATAAGTTAGCATGTGTTGGCAAGTTCGAAGATCCTATTTGGAAATTGGTGTAGAATAATTTACTCCTCTAAAAGTTTCAGTGTTTGTTTGGAGAGCAGTTCATCAAAGGTTGTCGGTTATTATAGAGCTGGAAAAGCGAGGTATGATCTGTAATGATAAACCTCTTTGTGTATTTTACAATCTAAAAAATGAAACATCAGATCATGTTTTGTTCCATTGTGATGTTGTTTGGAAAGTTTGGCAACGATGGTGTAGTGTTTGGAATGTTAACTTAGTGTTCTCTATTATGGTTAAAGGGTTGCTTGAGGTATAGTTCAATCAGAAAATTAAAATAAATGTTTGACCATTATGGGAATTAGGTTTTTTGGTCTGATCTGGAAAATCTGGCTGTGCAGAAACAAAGATAGGTTCAAGGGTAGTGTTTTTTCTGTCGATCAGATTTTTAATTTAGCATTGATTCAGATAGGGGTTTGGGCGAACGTTTTATGGCCTTCGTTGATTCCGGACGTTCAAGATTTTGGCACTCCACAATCTATCATTCTTGGTGTGTGTTGACTGCAATATTGATGTTGTGTAGTGTCCCTGCTGTGTGTTTAGGCAGGTATGCCGTGACAGCTTGATGTTGTTGCTATGTTTCATTTCTTTTGTTTTTCTATTTGCGTGTGTTCAACATCCAGTGCTTATTTCTTGTAATTGTTTTATCTGTGTTGGTTTACTTTTAGTTGGATTGAGGTTTGTTGTACGGATGCAGTTTGAATGATCTAATAACAGTTTGAATGATGTAATAGCAATTTGTGTATAAGTCTCATACCACCTCAAGGTACACTCTTTTTCCTCCATTTAGGATTAGGAAGGTTTTTTTAATGAGGTTCTTGAGGTGGTGTACTTTGTAATCCTTTATAATACAAAATACCATCTTTCAAAAAAAATATTGGAAAGTAGGAAACTAATTTGGTTAAAAGTAGAAAACTTTATTAAAATAGATTTCTACTTTATTTAGTTTTACTTTGTAATCAAGTATATATCCCTATAAATAGATATTAAGGGTCAGAGTTGGATATCAAGTTCTTTTCTTTCACCAAAATCCTCTTGTATTTTCTTTCTTCATATTAGTAAAATTCTTCTCCTTTGCCCGTGGTTTTTCCCTTTTGGGTTTTCCACGTAAATCCTAGTGTTCTTTTTTTTTTCCTTTTCAATCGTGTTTATTTGTTTACCGATAATCATCGTTCTGATATTATAAAAAATTGGTATTAGAGCTTCGGGTTCAAGAATATGAAAACAATGAAGTATGATATTCCACTGTTGGATCGAAACACCAGATTCTCGCTATGGCATGTGAAGATTCAGGATGTTCTTGCACAATTAGATCTCGACGACGCAATAAAAAGATTTGATGAGAATTTGATAACACAATGGACGAATGAGGAAAATCGTAAGGTTTTTGATGTGCATGATATTGCTAGTGGTGAAACATTTGTGAGCAAAGTTGACACTTATGATAACCATGTCAATGTGAAGCTAAATTCAAGCCTAGAAAAAGCTTGGACTTGATCGATGTTCGTTACAGAAGATTACCCCTTTGAGGGGTGTTGTGGAAGAGATAGAGAACTTGTTCATTGAAATGAAAAAAAATTGTTTTTTTGTTGAGTTTGTGTGCCACATACAATTTGGGAGTTTTGTCTCAAAACCTTTGCACTTTCAGAATTCATGTCAAGGTGGAGATTTGTTAGAGTTTGACTCGAATTCAAAGTGAAACAAATTAATAAATATATAAATATTGGGAAAGTAGGAAACCAATTTGGTTAAAAGTAGAAAATTTTATTAAATTAGATTTCTACTTTATTTAGTTTTCATTTGTAATCAAGTATCTATCCCTATAAATAGATAATAAGGGTCAGTGTTAGATATCAAGTTATTTTCTTTCACCAAAATTCTCTTGTATTTTCTTCCTTCATATTAGTAAAATTCTTCTCCTCTGCTCGTGGTTTGTTCCTTTTGAGTTTTCCACATAAATCCTAGTATTTTTTGTTTTTACCTTTTTGATTGTGTTTATTCGTTTTTCGATAATCATAGTTCTGATATTATAACATAAAAATTCTCTAACCTCCCATTCATGAACCATATACCCATTCGAGAAGGTGAAGAATATGGTCCAGTCATCTGGTGGGACTACTTCGTTGGTTTGGCTCGACGGGAGTCCCACCCTGACCGAACCATATCCTACCCCTGATCCAAACCTGGTTGAACCATTGGTTGTTGCACCCGTTGTTGTTGTTGTTGTTGATGATGATGATGTTGTATTTAGGCATGATTTGCTATGCTTCGTGTGGCATTTCGTTCGATGGCGGCTTGCATGATGTCCCTCAACTCCCTCATGCACACCTCGTTGACGATCTTCTCCAGTCCTCGCATCGCGATCGGTCGATGCTTGACGAAGAATTGGAGACAAAGATCATCGTGGATCAAGTTTTGCATGGAAGTGACATCACTGGATAAACCCGATATCGATGCCTGGTCATTGTGAATGATGTTAAGACACACGAAAGCCTCATCGGCGAGTTAATTTACCACCGTGTAAGGTAAAGACAAGATCTTTTTCACAACATGTTTGAACCCAACTCTTTCCAACCAAAGCCACAGAGCTACGAACTGAAGAGCTTCCACTGGGTCTCGCCATAGATATATGACGAGTAAACGATATATTGTACAATCAATGTTGTGAAACAAAAGAGAAATCATCGTTTTCAATACTGCAAAATCAACCATTTGTAATCATCAACAAAAAATGAAATGAAATGTAAAGAAAAAAAACTAATGAAATCATATAAAAGCAAAAGAGAAACCTGATTCTCAGATAGGAGTGAATCTGCCTTCGGACAAGATGAAAGCAAGGGGCCCCACCATGAAACAAGACAGTGTTTTGATTTCATAGATGCGTGTGTGGGTGTGTGTTTGCATATGTATCTTTTTGTGCTGACAAGTGACTGTGTTGAAGAAAATTGAGCAATGGGGAGAAATAGTTCTTTCTTGAGAATTTTTTTTTGTTACAAAAAGTTTAGGTTAGGTGTGGCTATTCAGTTTAGAACTAGGACATATTTAAGATTTAATTGGGATTTATATACGATTTTATAGATTGTCTATCAAGAGTGACGGTATTAGAATTCGAACTTGACCTTACAAATTCAAATTTTTAAATCTCAATCACTTATTTCCGTACTTGGCAAAAATTAAAATATTGAATAGCCTGAAAACCAACATAAAGTTTGTTGGGTTTATATGTTAATAGAATAAAGAAATTTGTTTATGATAACATTTAATTAATGGCTTTGTCGGGTAACTAGAGTTGGAATCATGTAGGGTAATATTCATTATAAGGCATTAAATTATATGACATTCATACTTACCTTGCTAATGTCTTCCCAACGTGAAAAAGAACTTTTCCCCCTCTAAAAGTTGCATTCCACCGTAATTTCAATTTTTTTTTGCTTAATATAAAAATAAGTGCTAGAATTATGCCTCAAAACACGTTTTAGTGGTTAAAGATTTTTTCGTTAAAAATAAGTGTCTAATATTTCAAACGGTATATTTTTAGGTGCCTAGACGGTAATTGCTGTCAAATATCTCCGTTAAGTGACACTTGTCACGTTCTGGTAATTTTAAAATTTTTTTAAAATATAAAAACATATTTTTTTGGAAAAAAAAGAAAAAGAGGCTCCCTCCCCTTTTCCCATCCCCTTTCCTCCTTCTAGAAGTCACCGATTGGTTGGCGGTGACTATCACTGTCACAGCCACTGTCGTCATCATCGACGTCGACACCCGATCAAATCCCTGTTAGTTTTTCGTCGTAATATGATGTTGTTTACCATGGAGAAGCGTTCAAATTTTCATCGGATTTTAAGCTATCGTCGTCATTCTTCATCGATTCCAACCGACGTCGTCCATAAGCCACACAGTCGTTGCCATTCGAACCAACGTGCTATTTCGATCAAAACCCAACCATTCGACGATGGCGATGATGGCCAGAGATGGTTGAAGATCGTTTGAGTTAAAAAAAATTGAAATTGAGAATTAAAGATTTGGATATTGGGATTTTAAATTTAGGGATTTTGGGTGACGATAAGGATGATGATTGATCAATGGGTGAGTGGCGACGGGTGGGTGACCGTTCGGCGATTACGATGATGGTCGGCGACGATTGGTGACGAGAGTTGAAATAAGAGATTTTATTTTTTAAGGTTTTTTTATAATTTCAGTAAAAAGTTGGGGATTTTAATAAATAAATTAAACTATTTTCTTTTTTAATTAAAAAACAATTATTAAATAATTAAAATATAAACGATATGCAACTAAAAATATAACTGAGAAAACATTAAGACACCTATTTTTATCGAGAAATTCTTTATGCAGTAAAATATTTTTTGATGCATAGTTTGGACACTTATTTTTGTATTAAGTTTTTTTTTTAATTATAAATCTAATCTTAATTCGATCTAGATGAGAAAGGAGAGAGTCTGGGAAAAAGAAGAAGAATGTTTCTAATAAATCTAGAACACCTTATTTTAAAAAAATGAGGGAATAAAGATTGTTAAACAGCATAACAATTTATTTTTTTATATAAATTAAACTTGGTTGTAAACATAAATGACGAATCACATAAAAAGATTGTTTTTAAGCAGAATTAAAATAAGAGAATTTTTATATTTTTCTAATTTTGTTAACATCTGGTAATTAGTGATATCAACTTATTCATAGACGGACATATGATCTTATGTTAACGGGGTAAATTTCTAAAAATTTAAGATGAGCGAACTTATAAAATTATAGGAGACTAAAATATATTATCGATTGAAAATCTAAAAAAATCTAAAACATATACTAAAATTTTCAAGAAAGTGATTGTCTCCACTCGTCAACTTTCGGTCCATCTCTGAACTTAGTCAAAGATTTAATATATAATATAGATATCCATAAACTTGGTATTTATTCATGCATTATATTTATATTGTTATTGGTTACTTTTACATTATTATTATTTATTATTGGATTCTATTTTCGACTCAATATCACCCGAAAGTAGCCGAATTTGGTGATAGAGTTTCGGAGTCAACTTAAAACTTTGAAAAGTTTAGAGGTTTAAATTAATTTTTTTTTTAAATTTTGAAGGGTTTAGCTTATATTTTTTCAAAAATTAGGGTCTAACTAAAATTTTTAAAATTTTGAGAGGTTTAATGAAAAATTTTAAAAATTATGGGAGTGAATTTAATTAAGAACATTAAAAAGTTTTAAAATATAATCTGATTTTTTAAAAATGTTGGAGGGATAAGTTTAAATTTTTAAAAATTTTAAGGATTTAAATTATAATCTTTTAAATTTTAGGGGAAGCATGAACTCCACAGATCCGCTAATCCCTCTTGTATTCCACCACTGATAATCGATTAAATTAATCAAAACAATTATTTTTAATTAAAATTATCCAATAATGACAGTAGTGAAATAATTATATATTACATGTTTGTCTCTCTTATGCATTTTTCGCGAGAAATTATCAATTTGATGCCATAAAAATTATCTAACGTAAGTAGCTCAAAATTTGAATATGTATTATATAAAGATGAAAACATATTCAGCACCCGTATTCGATACACATGTCCGACACTCACAACCGAGATAAAACGAACTAACACGCACATGAATACGAAAAGTATCGTGGGAAAGTTACCTTTAATGCTCGGGTGCTCCATTCTCCTAGAATAGCTCTCAACCTTTCGTTTTCTTCGACATACTGTTTCGGGGTTTTCAGCAATGTAAATTTCAACATAGCAGTGTGAGATTACAATTGTTTTCATTTTACTATTAGGTGTTTGCAGCTTACCAGACCGTTGGTTGTTCGAACGCACTGGACCTCTGCTTCCGTCTCCACCATTAAAGAATGAGCAAGTCTTATCTCGGACTGTAGTTGATTCATCTACATTTCGAATAGTTTAATATCTCAGTTTCTGACAGAATCTAATACTGGCACTTCTCTGAAAAAGAAATGCCGGGGAGCAAGGTAGAACGCTCACTACCAATGCTAGAAGTTGAACAACCTAAGGTGCATGGAGAAGAATGAACAAATTGGAGTTCAAATGCAAAGAAACACTCTTTGTCCCGAAGTGCATATCCAAAGATGTACAGGAAATGCATATATTACAGCTATGTTACTCGGACTTGAGCACAAGTGTTGGATATGGATATCCATCAAGTTTCATGTATTTAGCCGTCAACCCCCATACCCATGTCTGAAATGTCCCGGACATGGGTGTGAGAAACATATACTTCAACTAGAAAAATGAAGGGTCGGAGCAACACAAGACCATAGGGTTTGCATGCCAAATGAACACCCCGCTTCTTTACAGGTTAAATCCTTACTCTTAAGCATAAATCACCTATTTAAACCACGAGCATATGTTCAAACCAGGTAGAACAGCATGGAAAAGAGAAAAAAGGTGCATAAGTGAACAACAGAAGATATGCAAGCATGAAAAGTTTATTTGTTCAAAAGAAATCTCTGCACTGATAATGCAAATCCGCAAATTTTCATGTTTCCAATATTAACTAGCGTAACTCAGCTGATAGTGTTCTCAATTCTTGATCACGTACTACTAATAGATGGGCAAGATCGACCTGGAAAAGAAGTCGAGAACCAACCATTATTTTGACCATTTCTTTCAAAGTTATCACAGCATTCATCTGTAAAGATAGATAATCACCTGAGGTGTGGTTCCATCATTAGATCCTTCATATTTGATTATGCACTCTTGCAATCGGAGAACCTGCAGATAAATGTGCATTGCTTGTCTTACGGGTACTCTGCTACGCTACTTCAAAATTAATTAGAAAAAACAACTACCGTGAATTATAAGTATAAGATGATCCAAGTACCTCACTCAGAAAATGAAGGTTTTCGCGCTGATACTGAAGTAAAGCCATTTGCTGGTCAGAGAGTCGACCACCATCATGATACCTGAAACTCCAATCAGAAACAAACATGGCATATAAACACCATTATGTATGACAACAGTAATGATTCATAATTTCTTATTAATCTGTGTCTTTGATTTCATGAGAAATGAATCTCCATAAACTACAATCTGGATATCATGAAACCGGCAAAGCTCCCGAAATGGCAATATTAAAATAATCTACCTAGATTTAAGATTGAAAGACGGGATTTCTTTCACGGTGAATCTTGAAAATTCAGATTGGATTGATAAAGGTTTTTCCATTACCCCAAATCTTCCAAAGAACTTTGTGGTTGAAGAGGAGAATATAATGACTTCAAAACATCTGGCTGAGAATCCAATGAATTGTACTGATGTACATAGCCTACGATAACCACAAAAGCACAGAAACATATTGGAATCTAACTGAAAAAAGAAAAGAAAAGAAAAAAGAAACTCATATTATAGGCATGTTTTATTCAATTAAACTCTTCGAGTGGTTCTACACGTGTATGTGTGAGCTTACCGATATACACCCTCATAACGACACAGAACATACTGCTTCAACCAACATTATAATCCTGCAAATCAAGTGGGAAATTGTCAACAATATGTAGTTTTGAATGAAAGAGAGAACCTGGAATGTTATTGTAATATATTTTTCAGTTGCAACTTGTGGATTGACCCAACATAATCAATAACATCATACAGCCCCAATAATGAAATTGTAACATAAAGCTAATTAGAATGAGCATCCAGAACTCATAAATCGCATACATTTCAAGATGCAAACAATACAAAATCAATATTTCTTTCTCAATCCCCAATAAAGGCTAAAAATTAACTACTTTGAATAAATCCTTCGACAAGCTGTCGAAATGATTTTTTTCTCATAAATAAATTTAATTATTTTTAAATTCTCATCTCGAATATTTTTGGTGTTTATCTTTTTAAATAAGATAAAACACGATTTAAGGAGTCACCACCAATCTTTAATTAATGTGTGATTGGACACCTAAAACATTTTGTTATTTTAATAAAATTTATTTTAAAAATTATTAAAATAACATAAAAAAGGTCTACATATTAGAAAAAGAATTTGGGAGTCGGTTACGTGTGGGGAATGATTAACACTCCACAACGCCCTAAATCGGTACCTTGTCCATTAATTATTTGTCTTTGCAATAAAATTTACAAATTCGAATCTAATTTAATTTATGATCATTTGAAATATAATTCTTGAATTTTGGAATGAAACCAAGTAATATTTAATTGTTTCCTATTAAGAATAAATGATCTCTCATACCTTGAGACAATCAATTCTTACTCCAGTTGAAACAAATAAATATTCTAATTTCACACCAATATTCGAATGCATAAAATGTAATCAAATTAATTTAAAATTATCAATCCTTTTAGAAAGAAAAAGAATATTCGATTTATTTAAAAACTTTGAGATCAAACCTTAGATAAGTTCTAACGATCTTTTCTCGAAAATTTTAAATAAATGAACATGTTATTTTTCTTTCTTCCCCAAACTTTAGGTATAATTAATTTTAAAATTCCACTTAATAGGATATTATTTCATCTTAAAATATTCGAAAGTGACATTCTTATTAGTTAAGACAATCACTTCACGATAATTTTAAAATGAAAACTTTAATCATATTATTTTAATTGAAGTCAAGTTACACTCATGAGGCTATATACATGTCAGTAAATTTAGATGCATATATACATAAAAATAATAAATAAAAAAATATCAGGAACAAAAATAATATGCAGGTAAAACTCAGTGCTCAAAATAGAAATACCAGAAAATTTCATTCAATGACCAAAACAGTAAATCACAAAGCCTAAGGGACCTAGTACATAAATATTCTACATACGAAATTGCTCACTGATCCCTCCCCAAAACTAATACCCCCAAACCAGTTGAAAATTGAAGCAAAAGCTTCATTTTTCACTTCTTTCTCTCTCTTCACTTTTGAGAGAGAGAAAATTCTCTCGTCTCTCTCTTTCTCTGGTTATAGCAGCCCGACCGGTCGCCATACATCGGCGCCGACAACCACCGTCGGCCACCGTCCATGGTGATTGAAAAACCTAAAAAGCCTTCCGAAAACACTTATCAACCCCTTAAACCCGAATTTGGCTTTGCTTTCGCCCAAAAACTACCCTAGTGTCGTAGCTCTACAATTTTTACCTTTGAAAAAGTAGGACTCCGACAAATTTTAGTGTTTCCGGTGACGAGCGAAGCTTCGAGGGTAAGTTCCTCCTATTCTCTGCTTTTTTCTTTGTGTTTTTCTACTACTTTTATTTGTGGTTTTTGGGTTGCTTCCGTTCTTCTTGTTGTTGTTGTTCTGTTTGCAGGTTTGATCGAGGCTTTTTATAGGCCCCTTGAGTCACTCCTTGGACTAGTCTGAGGGGGAAACCCTCCTGAGTCACTGGGGGTATGGCGGTGACTAGTTAGGGGCGGCCGATGAGGTGGTTGGGTGCATTAAAGGCACCCATATTTTTTTTGATATAGAATGTTCTGTGATGGCTTCTAGTCGTTATATCCACGAGTTTGATCCAACGGCTCCTGTGATGCGGCGTTTGTTCCATAAGGTTGTAAACCCCAGCTACTGTTGGATCTGAGCCGTCAGATTAATTCAGATCTGACGGTTCCAGGCTTCAGACGGTTGGGAGAAAAGTATGAAACCCTAATGGGTCTCTCCACTCTGGACTTGACATGGACCTGAACTGGGTTATTTGTAATTGGGTTTTAACCCGAATTTCTGGACTTGAACCTTTGAACTTGGACTTCTGGACCTTTACTTTAATCGGGCCTATAAATTTGGTCTTTTAAATTTGGACCCTGCAGTTAAAAATATAATTAAATAATAATAATAACAACAAAAACAACTTATATATATTTCATAATATATTTATTTATTTAAAAAAAACAAATTCTTTATATACTTATATTTATTTTTTATCTCAAACCCTATATTATATTTTCTAAAACTATATTATATATTTATTTTCCAAACTACATTTTTTATAAAACTATATATGTTTTTCAAAGGTATACTATATATATTTATATTTTTCAAAACTATATATTTTATAAAACTATTATATATATATATATTCCAAACTATTATTTACTTTCAAAAATATATATATATATATATATATATTTTGAAACTACTATTTTTAAAAGAGAAAATAACCTCAGTGACCAAAAATCCCATATAATATACGATTTTAACCAACTTTTTCCGGATTTGCCAAAATGACCAACAAAATCGCAATGCGATCGCTAATTCGCAACGCGATCTCCATTATCGCAAATTCGCGTTGCATTTTCGCAATGCGATAGTTGAAAATCGCGTTGCGATGGTCTACAGTATCGTTGCGATTTTCCCAATTCGCAATGCGAATAAGTAAATCGCAACGCGAATTGGGAAATTCGCAATGCGAATAAGTAAATCGCAACGCGAATTGGGAAAATCGCAATGCGATACTGACTATCGCAATGCGATAATAAAAAATCGCAACGAGATACTTACTTTCGCAACGCGATACTGACTTTCGCAACGCGATAATACATAATCGTAATGCGATTTTCAAAGCGCCATTAGTATCCTGGCCAAGTATTTTATTTTTAAATTCCAAACATGAATATAAATATATTGGAACACTGAACTGTCCACAGTATATCCCGTAATCGCAACTCATAACCTAAAACCTAAAATCACAACTCAGTCCCATCTCCATCTCTCACTCTCTCACCCATCTCCGACGAAATCCGTCCCCATCTTCGGCGAAATCCATCTATCTAAATCTCTCAGAGCCACCCTCACAATCAGAAATGGAAAATCAACCAAATCAACCAACGAGGGTTAGTTTTTTTAATTATTTTCTTTTTGAAATTTTTGCATTATTATTAGGTTTTTCATATTGAAATTGATGATAGGTTTACTGGTAATTTCAATAATAGATTAACCATTTCACTTAGATTGCTTATTAAATCAACCAAGAATCGCAACGCGATTTTAGTTTCGCGTTGCGATTCTCTCGTTGCGATAGTCATTTTCGTGTTGCGATTTTCATTTTCAGAAACTATTCTTCTTCTGCAAATTGAAACTTGAATGAATTGCATTACTTCAACCAAAAAACAAAGACAAATACGAAATTCACAGTGTTGCATATTTAAGTTTGAAGAATAAACTACTACTATTTATGTTTATTATTGTTTTTGGTATATCTTCACAGTGTAGTTTTTGGTATATCTAATTTAGTATGTTTATTGTTTTTGTAGAACTTTTATTCGGCTCAATTTACCTTGAGAAATAAAGTCAGCCTGGCCAAAACAATTGCGTCGAAGCTTTCACCTGCACAAAGAAAAATGTTTGAGGATACATGCTTCGGGCCATGGCTGAAAGTACAACATCCCGGTGGAGATGCAATGTTGACACACCTGTTTCTTCAAACCATGACTAGAGATCTACCAGAGACTATACAACGTCGTGATGAAGAGATATGGTTTGATTTTCCACCGGCGTATACGTGTTTTGGGCGGGAGGAGTTTTGCTTAATCACCGGTCTACGCTTCGGACACGATGATGTAGGTCGGTATACTAGACACATTACCCGCCCATCATGGCTATCCCGGGTTTTTCCTGAGCTGGAGAGGCCGAGTCTACACGTAGAAGACCTGACAAGATTTTTGAATAATAAAGATGGTTTTACTCGGATGGATGACGTCGACGTTGTCCGAGTATGCCTTCTAATTCTTTTGCATGCCGGCTTTTTAGGTAGAGAGGCCAGACAACCTATTCCAAATGATCTAATCAAATTGGTAGAAGACCTAAATGCGTGGAACCTGTTTCCGTGGGGCTCGTATTTATGGAAAGCTACATGGAATAAGTTATCGTCTGCCTTGGATGATCGAAAAAGTTTGCATGGCGATGGTTCCAAATACACTTTGACAGGCTTTATTTGGGCCTTTAAGGTAAGAATTTTTATATAATGTTTCCAAAATTATAAGTAATTATTTAACAATTACTAATGTTTGTTATTATATTGTTTGTAGATTTGGATATTTGAGGCCTTTCCCGCCATGAAGACATATGCAATAAAAACTTCAAATAATATTCCCAGGGCTATTTCCTGGAAGAGGAAACGAACCTTGCAATGGGAAGATTTACTACGGTATACGACAATAAATAATGTAAGTTAACATAAATACTACCATATGTTTATAAACAAGTTATTACTAGTACACATTTAACTTTGTTTAAGCTTTTATATTGTTAGGAGGCCAACACTCCTCTACAGAGGCTGACACCCACGGAAGCTGAGCTTGCCACTGATTGGTGGCAAGCTAGTAAGCGTTTTTTTGATGGAAAGGTTGATGAGCAGCCTCCACTTCGGGAGCCATCACCTCGCCCAGAGCTATCACCTCACCTAGAGCCATCATCTGATCGACCCGGCTATACACCTCCACAACGACAGCCATCACCTATTCTTTCACATCATCGAGCCTCTTCTCCAC